CCACCATCCCTCCCTCTCAGGCGATAAATGACTAGTCCCTAAATCCTTCCCAGTTTTTGATAGCTAAAGTGCAAAAAAATTCCCAACAGATACAAACACTATCTATCGTTTGTGGTGAAAACAGTTACAATCCATCATTCACTCAACTAGGCATGACCAATTGAAATTAATAATTTATACAAACCACTCTCCGAATGGAAATTGCGACGAGCCGATCTTGTCCAAGTGCGCGGCTTCCGAACCGAAGAGCCCGCCGGACTTGCAACGATCTCTATATCAGGCGCTAAGAACTCTGGGGTCTCCTTTTCAGATTTGGTTGGCCAGGTAGCGACCTCGAACCAATCAATTTGAAAGGCCTGTAAAAGATCAGACTGAAAACGATCCGACCGCAGACGATGCTCGTCGATAAAACCTTGGCGAGACACAAGAGGGCGATCGATGTTGTCCAGCATATCTGAAAATCAAAGATCAAATATGTTCTTTTTTAGAAGACGTGTCTGTGATGGTTGGCTATACTAACCAAAGCATTTAAATGTTTAGGAGACACGCTTGTTTTTAGCCAGTAAAAGGAATGCTTATGCGTTGTGTTATTGAGGAAAGCTGATGATTGCTTATTCCTGTTTAACGCCTTCAAGAACAACTTCAAAATTCGATTTGTAGCGTGACTTTAGTATAAAGAATTATTATAACACGTTCTTGAAGTAAAGTTAAATCTTCATTCCAACCAAGTGGCCTACCCAGACGGAGGTTATTCCGGCTTCAAACAGTAGCAGGAAGCGACTGGGAGTACACACCACCCCCTCCCCCGGCAAGTCCATCGCGACGTCATCAGGCTTCCCTGACAATTCGCTGGTACCCAGTTATGTTCCCGGGCGGAGAGACGCTGTGTGAGAGAGTAGAGTGTTTTTCCCGAGAACACATGTACACCACATTGACTGGACTAAGTCTCGTACCTAGGTCTTTCGATGCACAGTCCAGCACACTAACCATTAAGCCACCGCGTCGACCACAATACTTTCTTACCTATACCTTTGTTAACACTGCTCCCATAAGCTCGTGGATTCGAATTAGATTTTCTAGGAACACGAACCGGGTTAAATGTGCAGGGATATGATACAACAATATGATACGGGGTCTTAGAGCCGGAATTTGAGTAGGAACACGAAGCAGAAATTGTTTCGGATCCCTTACGCTGTGTCGACTTCAGAAATCACATGGCTAACACCAAGTAAACCGTTCAAACTTAATTACTCGTTTTAATCAGTCATCAAAAAGTGGCCAAATTAAACTTACCTTCCGTTTTCTCTCTCCAACACGACTTTGGAGTGAAATAAAAGATGACAAATCCCTCTACCAGTTTCTGGGCGGTGCTGTCGGAAGCATGTTTGATAAAGCCCCCTTCAAACAATTTCTAAGTTTGAATTCAAAAGAGTTTGGAAATCACCTCAACGCAGTTTGATTTAAAAATACATAGCGAAGGAACTTTCGCGACTCAATACAGAGATTCAATGACTCTCTTCTGACCTTAGAAAAACTTTTTTCCGCGATGTATAGCTGACCTGACGATGGCAAATATGCCATTTTATAAGTTGGTGTGAGCCAGACAAGGTTCCTTTGAACGTGTCCTCGAGTAAATATGTAAGAATAAGATACCACGACCCAATGCTTTGAAATGGTGATTTCCAAATGAGAAAAATTTAACAGCTTTCCTTCCACCACCTCATACTTCTACATGCATGACATTCCCAGAATTCGCGGGATTAGGAAAGAAAATTTTTAACGAGCGTTTAAGTAAGCTGGAAGAAAATTTTTGATTCCAGGAATTTTTCAGGAATGGTATAAGAGCGCAATATGCGCAGATCTTTCAAATACTATTCCACTTTAGAGAGACTAAAACTCCATCAAAACTGAAAAGAAAAATCCACTAAAAAGTGCATCTTCGTTTATTCTTGCATAAAGTGATAAATGTTTCCCTACCCGACCCCAACCATTAAACTTCAAGAAGACATCACCGCTGACCTGGCAGAGTTGAGTAGCTTGTTCCTTGGCGTTAACTCCTTCCACGTTGAGTAAAATCCATGAAATCGCTTCCGAACTCAGAAGGCTGGCGGGTTTTAGCCCCTTGACCTCTGGTAGGAAAGTCATGCCCTTTCTGTCGAATAATTAGACGGTGGATGCCAAATTCATTTCTACCAAATATGGACATATTTAAAGTGTGAAATTCTTTTTTATTCTCTTAACCAGAGAAAGGCGAGAGCGATTCTAGTTGTGTAGGTCAGAACTGGCTCGCATGGTTGGTTAATTGCGAAATTATTCTATTATTGTTTAGAGCTGCCTAACCACATCGGTAAATTCCTAAATAATATTGACTATTCTGTCTAAAACGGTGTTAATTGTTTGTCCTTGAAAGCAAAGCCCGCGCAGTAATATATAGTGTCGTGGCGTTAGCTCCACTGGCGGAGAGATCCGTGAAACTAAAGACTGAATGACTCACATGTTCCACACGCCTCAGATTTATTAAGTAACCTCTTATTGCCATCCTTTATAGCAAGACGTGTAGGCAAACGTTATGGGTTGGTTCTGAGTATCATAACTTACAATATCTGGCGGTTCCAGTGGAGTTTCTGTGAGCCTTGGAGGGTTTTTACACGTGTTTGCGGTATTTAACTTAGGGTCATGTGGTAGCTAGCGAAAACTGTTGTGACCCAAATGTGGATCTCAAATAAAAGGAAATATCTGAAATTCCGCAAAATGAGAAACAAGGCGCACTGGTGTCGTGACATACAGATTTAGCCAGGCCTAAAAGCAGAGCCCCAGTTAGTTTATATCACAGCCCTTCACTTTCATAGGATTGACAGGTTTGGTCGGTGACTTCTGACTTACAATAAGTGCCTCATGTAAATTACAGGGAAACCTACCCAGGATCCAACATGGCCTCTGCAACACTCTCCAGCGATGATTCTATACAGAGTTTGCCTCTGTCGAGTTTCACTGACGCGTCATCGACCGTTTTAGGTTGCTCACTACAAAGTGAAACCACGTGAATCGATGTTAGGGTATAGTAATGGTAATAGGACTTCGTGTCGTCCAATTCGGGCTGTAATCATACGAGTGATAACAAAATTGGACGACCGCGCAGCGGGAGTTCGATTTGTTTGATAACAGACTGAATTGGACGACACGAAGTCTTATTACCAATGAATCAACAAAATTACAATTTCCAAAAAAAGAAAGAATAGCGAAGTTATGAAAGAAAGGGAAAATTTGCATTAAAAGACTGGCAAAGGAGGCGTAAATTGTAAAATTTAGTAGTCTGTACACACTCTTTATGGTAATTGAAACCAAGTTTGTGATTGGTTGATTCAAACTACAACTTTGAATGTGAGTGGTTGACTTAAACTACAACCTTCAATGTGATTGGCTTATTGAGCTATCCTATTACAAACTGTCCGATAACAACTTTGCGAGTGAGTTAGTGGAAAATAGGAGTCTTTTAAAACAAATCACAACCGAGGAAATAGTCATTTTTATGATTAGCAGGGAAAAATCATATCAGCCATTGAAACACCTACTTACCCAGCGACCTCTCGAGATGGACTGGCATGGGAATCTGGACTTCCAAGTTCGTCTCCTATTCCCGAGGACGACCGCGATCCGTTGGTCAACGGACTACTGGGAGCAGAACTGTTTTCTCTTGTTACTGTTAACTCACAAGGGATGGGTCGGGATGTTTTATGCTCGAGTTGTTTACTGATTCGACGGGTTGGTATAGACACATCGGACTGTTTTCGATCCTAACGAGATGTTGGTGTAAATAGAAAATCAAAAGACACGTTACAAGAAAAAAAAATGATCAGAATCCTTTGAATAAAACAAGGCGGAAGCGCAACCCTTCACAACCTAATATCAGTATACAAATTATCCATACTGTTCTCCATATATCTCCTGCAGTGCTGACAAGGAGAAGTTTTGATTGATTAACAATCAAGAGCTTCTTTAGCTGGTGATTATTTCCATTATTCTCGTTACCTAAATGTTTGATTCAGGGGTGAAAAATGTAAGGAGATACCAGATGCGAGCCACTTTTAGGGAGTCAAAGGGTTAACAACCCATAAACTAAACAGAGCATGTTTTCATTGAGCGTTTTAAAACCGAAACCATAGAAATCACAGGAGCCAATAAAAAAAATCAAAGGGGGCCGAACCAAAAGGGGTATCCCTTTATATAGGCTAAAGGATTATATGCCGCCCCTGGTGTGTGGTTTTTGAGTCATTTTGGCCTCGAAACAGGTGTAGATTTTAACCACTATGCTCTTAAATCTGACTTGTTGCTTCTTACTACGCGGTCGCTAGGTCGCGAAAGACGCACTCAGGAGAAAACGAGAAGAAAAAAGGTACTCGAACCAAAAGTGTAGTAAAGTATTATTGCATGCTTCTTAAATATGAAAGTTGTCTTATTCGCAGCCGTTGTTTAATGTGGGAGAGAGCGCATTGTGTGACAGTTGTCTCCTTTGGTGAGGGAGAGAGCGCGTTGGGTGACAACAATAAAACAAAGGCTGCGAAGGAGACTTATGATAGCTGTTCTCTATGAAATTTACCTTAGGGGTTGTAGGAGTTTTCTGAGTTTGATGACGTTTTATTCGATTTAGCACCTCAAGGAACCTCACGATTCCATCCACTACGTCGGCCTGCTGAGTTGATGTTTTCTTCTTTTCCTCACGACCTGATCCTTTCACTTGACGCTGAGACAACGGCAAAAATGGCAATAGCAAGAAACGTGCTTTCCAATAATGAAGACTCTAGAAAAAAATTCACACAAATGAAAAAATGCGCTTTTGAGTATTTTTATAGAAAAAGCGCAATATAAGTATTAAATATTATTATTAAAAACCCTCAGAGCATGGACAAAAACCAAAAACAACTTAAAATAAATAACAGTGTAAATTTGTGTTAACAAATGAGTTGATAACGTAAATTGGCCTCCGTAAAGAGTTTTAAAGCTGACGTTTTGAGTGTTAGCCCTTCGTCAGAGGGAATGGCGATTCGCTCTGATGAAACTATGAAAATGTTCATTAGCTAGCTAATAGGCTTTAATCCAACAGCAGCGGCTTAAAATGTATTAAAGTTCACATGGCAACCAGGTGAACAATCAGACATGGTTTGATGCTACTCTGGTTTACAGATTTAATGAATGTAACCGAAGAAGTTACAATTTATAGACCCAACGTTTCGATAATCCTGTCTAGTGCCTTCATCAGGGGTGATCTAAACGCTGCAACAAGAGGTCCTT